ATGCCCCCAATATCTGGATCGGCAACAAACCGTAAAACTATGCCCCCAATATCTGGATCGGTAACAAACCTAAAAATCCATGCCCCCAATATCTGGATCGGTAAACAAACCGTGAAAATCCATGCCCCACATCTGAACGGTAACAAACCTTAAAATCCATGCCCCCAATATCTGGATCAGTAACAAACCGTAAAATCCATGCCCCCAATAACTGGATCGGTAACAAACCGTAAAATAACTCAATATCAGAAACGGTAACAAACCGTAAAATCCATGCCCCCAATATCTGGATCGGTAACAAACCGTAAAATCCATGCCCCCAATATCTGGATCGGTAACAAACCTTAAAATCCATGCCCCCAATATCTGGATCGGTAACAAACCTTAAAATCCATGCGCCCAATATCTGGAACGGTAACAAACCTTAAAATCCATGACCCCAATATCTGGATAGGTAACAAACTGTAAAATCCATGCCCCCAATATCTGGAACGGTAACAAACCTTAAAATCCATGCCCCCAATATCTGGATCGGTAACAAACCGTAAAATCCATGCCCCCAATATCTGGATCGGTAACAAACCTTGAAATCCATGCCCCCAATATCTGGAACGGTAACAAACCTTAAAATCCATCCCCCCAATATCTGGAACGGTAACAAACCTTAAAATCCATGCCCCCAATATCTGGATCGGTAACAAATCGTAAAATCCATGCCCCCAATATCAGAAACGGTAACAAACCGTAAAATCCACGCCCCCAATATCTGGATCGGTAACAAACCTTAAAATCCATGCCCCCAATATCTGGATCAGTAACAAACCTTAAAATCCATCCCCCCAATATCTGGAATGGTAACAAACCTTAAAATCCATCCCCCCAATATCTGGATCGGTTAGAAACCATAAAATCCATGCCCCCAATATCAGAAACGGTAACAAACCGTAAAATCCATGCCCCCAATATCTGGATCGGTAACAAACTGTAAAATCCATGCCCCCAATATCTGGATCGGTAACAAACCTTAAAATCCATGCCCCCAATATCTGGAACGGTAACAAACCTTAAAATCCATGCCCCCAATATCTGGAACGGTAACAAACCGTAAAATCCATGCCCCAAATATCTGGATCGGTAACAAACCTTAAAATCCATGCCCCCAATATCTGGAACGGTAACAAACCTTAAAATCCATGCCCCAAATATCTGGATCGGTAACAAACCTTAAAATCCATGCCCCCAATATCTGGAACGGTAAACCATAAAATCCATGTCCCCAATATCTGGAACGGTAAACCATAAAATCCATGCCCCCAATATCTGGATCGGTAACAAACCTTAAAATCCATTCCCCCAATATCTGGAACGGGTAACAAACCTTAAAATCCATCCCCCCAATATCTGGATCGGTTAGAAACCGTAAAATCCATGCCCCCAATATCAGAAACGGTAACAAACCGTAAAATCCATGCCCCCAATATCTGGATCGGTAACAAACCGTAAAATCCATGCCCCCAATATCTGGAACGGTAACAAACCTTAAAATCTATGCCCCCAATATCTGGAACGGTAACAAACCGTGCCCCCAATATCTGGATCAGTAACAAACCTTAAAATCCATGCCCCCAATATCTGGAACGGTAACAAACAGTAAAATCCATGCCCCCAATATCTGGATCGGTAACAAACCGTAAAATCCATGCCCCCAATATCTGGAACGGTAACAAACCTTAAAATCCATGCCCCCAATATCTGGATCGGTAACAAACCGTAAAATCCATGCCCCCAATATCTGGAACGGTAACAAACCGTAAAATCCATGCCCCCAATATCTGGAACGGTAACAAACCTAAAATCCATGACCCCACATTCAAGATCGCAACAAACCGTAAAATCCATGCCCCCAATATCTGGATCGGTAACAAACCTTTAAAATCCATGCCCCAATATCTGAACGTAACAAACCTTAAAATCCATGCCCTCAATATCTGGAACGTAACAAACCTAAAAATCCATGCCCCCAATATCGAACGTAACAAACCTAAACGATGCCCCCAATATCTGGAACTGCAAGAAACCTTTAAAATCCATGCCCCCAATATCTGGAACGTAACAAACCGTAAAATCCATCCCCCCAATATCTGGATCGGTTAGAAACCATAAAATCCATGCCCCCAATATCAGAAACGGTAACAAACCGTAAAATCCATGCCCCCAATATCTGGATCGGTAACAAACTGTAAAATCCATGCCCCCAATATCTGGATCGGTAACAAACCTTAAAATCCATGCCCCCAATATCTGGAACGGTAACAAACCTTAAAATCCATGCCCCCAATATCTGGATCGGTAACAAACCGTAAAATCCATGCCCCCAATATCTGGAACGGTAACAAACCGTAAAATCCATGCCACCAATATCTGAATCGGTAACAAACCGTAAAATCCATCCCCCCAATATCTGGAACGGTAACAAACAGTAAAATCCATGCCCCCAATATCTGGATCGGTAACAACCAGAAAAATCCATGCCCCCAATATCTGGATCGGTAACAAACCTTAAAATCCATCCCCCCAATATCTGGAATGGTAACAAACCGTAAAATCCATGCCCCCAATATCTGGATCGGTAACAAACCTTAAAATCCATGCGCCCAATATCTGGATCGGTAACAAACCGTAAAATCCATGCCCCCAATATCTGGAACGGTAACAAACCGTAAAATCCATCCCCCCAATATCTGGATCGGTAACAAACCTTAAAATCCATCCCCCCAATATCTGGATCGGTAACAAACCGTAAAATCCATGCCCCCAATATCTGGAACGGTAACAAACTTTAAAATCCATGCCCCAAATATCTGGAACGGTAACAAACCTTAAAATCCATGCCCCCAATATCTGGAACGGTAACAAACCTTAAAATCCATGCCCCCAATATCTGGAACGGTAACAAACTTTAAAATCCATGCCCCAAATATCTGTTGCATGATTTTTTATTTAATATTTTTGAATTCTCAGCTTTTTTTTAAACTTTACATATTCCTGGCCTGGCCAGAGCAGATCCTGCAAATTAAAGGATCACTATATTTTGAAGTCTGAGATTTGTAAATTATCTGGTGAAGAAACTCAGACTGGAACTGCTGCAAAGCCACTGCCGCAGAGACATGCTAGGAAAGGCAGATGGATTACTGTAGGATCTGGTAGACTTAGAGTTGTGGATAAAAGGCATTTTGCACAGTCTGTTGCTCTTCATAATTCATTTTCTGCACTCTCAGAGTGTAATGGTGTTGTGGAGAGAGGCACTGAGGCTAGTGGTGTTGTGGAGAGAGGCACTGAGATTAGTGGTGTTGTGGAGAGAGGCACTGAGACTAGTGGTGTTGTAGAGAGAGGCACTGAGGCTAGTGGTGTTGTAGAGAGAGGCACTGAGGCTAGTGGTGTTGTAGAGAGAGGCACTGAGGCTAGTGGTGTTGTGGAGAGAGGCACTGAGGCTAGTGGTGTTGTGGAGAGAGGCACTGAGATTAGTGGTGTTGTGGAGAGAGGCACTGAGACTAGTGGTGTTGTAGAGAGAGGCACTGAGGCTAGTGGTGTTGTAGAGAGAGGCACTGAGGCTAGTGGTGTTGTAGAGAGAGGCACTGAGGCTAGTGGTGTTGTGGAGAGAGGCACTGAGGCTAGTGGTGTTGTGGAGAGAGGCACTGAGGCTAGTGGTGTTGTGGAGAGAGGCACTGAGACTAGTGGTGTTGTGGAGACCGGCTTGGAGAGTATGGTGAAGCCTAATAGAAAGCAGTTGTTGTTGGGTGATTCCATTATAAGAGGTGTGGAGATGGACAATGGTGGTCTTGTGAGGTGTCTTCCCAGAGCTACTGCTCACAGAGACAGGAGACGAATCTGTAATATTGTTAAGCAAGCAAAGCAGGAAGGGGAATTGGATGTACTTGTCCATCTAGGGACAAAATGACTTGGCTTGCAATAAGGTTTCAGAGGTTAAGGAAGTTTTTAGTGTTTTTGCCAATGATATACGGCAGGTTGCTTCCACACTGTCATTCTCTGAAGTTCTGCCTGTGCATAACACTCAGAACGACAGGCGGATGCGTATTAGGGACTTTAATTTGTGGCTTGGTGAATGGTGTAGGGAGCAAGGATTTGGCTTTATTTCTCATGGTAGCTCTGTTTGGAATGGAAATAACCTGTACAAAAAAGATGGTTTGCATCTTTCTCAAAAGGGAACAAATGTTCTCAGTGAGCAGTTCAGAGGTTTTTGCTAGGATGTATTTAAACTAGGAGGTGGGCAAAAGGGTAATAAAACATCAATCCAATTGTCCCCCAAAACAAGGACAAAAGGTGCCTGTAGCAAGTGTGTTAAAAAATGATAAGCTTAGAGTCATGTCTACAAATGCTCGCAGTTTAGGGAATAAGATCCATGAACTTGTGGCAATAATGGCAACTGATAGTATAGATTTAGTCGCTGTTACTGAGACATGGTACAATGAGAAAAATGACTGGGACGTAGCAATACCAGGGTACTCTTTATATAGGAAAGATAGGGAAGGCAAAAAAGGGGGAGGGGTGGCCTTGTATGTGAAGGATAGCATAAAATCTAGCCTAATAAAAGTTAGTGAGGCAAACATAGAGTCCGTTTGGGCTACGTTAGAATTTGAGTAATACAGCACAGTAACTCGATGTAGGTGTGATTTATAGGCCCCCTGGACAAATTGAAAGAGTTAGAATAATCTAGTTGAGAAATAGCTAAAATGACAATGAAGGGAAGTTATCATCATGGGTGACTTTAATCTTCCTGATGTAAATTGGAAAACAAAATTAGCTACTTGTGCCACGAGCACACGCATTCTAAACTCCCTACTGGAGTTGTCTCTAAACAAGTTGTTGAGGCAACTCGTAA